CCCTCTTCCTCCTTTTCCCTCTTCCTCCTTTTCCCTCTTCCTCCTTTTCCCTCTTCCTCCTTTTCCCTCTTCCTCCTTTTCCCTCTTCCTCCTTTTCCCTCTTCCTCCTTTTCCTCCTAGCTCAAGAAAAATTTCTGTGAGAGCAGACTTTGGTAGAGGGAATGGCTGAAGTAAGTTCCTTGTTCTTCAGCCTTCTCATGATGACATCTGTGTTAGTATAAAATAACTTGGAATTAGCTAGTAGTAAGTTTTTTCTCTTAAAAAATAAAAATAGAAAATCAATATCATGGTTTAAAATTATGATATATTAGCATTATACATCATTAAAGAAGATTAGCATTAGAAGTGCTAGACCAAACCTTTTGTTTTTTTAAGCACAGGAAAAGCAAGGACACAGTCTGCACCGAGATGTGTGTTATATTTTGATCTTGGCATAAACATGTTCTCTTTTGGATCTTTCATTGCAGTGACTTAAATGATGAAAAGAAAAATACCGTTTTTCTCTCTAAGTGTGAAAATAATTTTTATGCTGAAACCTGAGCACTTAACCTGTAGCTCTGACTATGGCGTGTGTTTTTGTCTTAGATTCCCCATCACTGTTACTGTTGGTACAATTCTTTCAAATGTCTTGGAGGAAAGTCCTTTGATGGATGGACTGTTGGGAGTTACTGGGGATTTATATAGGTATTGCATGTCATGCAGTGCTGCTCAGTACTGTCTCAACAATCTGCAATGTGTCTTTATTGCATAATTTTATGCAGAACTCATGTGTTACCCCATTTCTTACCTCTGCAAACGAGCCTTAGATTTCTGGGTTATAGTACTGTCTTTGTAGAGGTTGTGCCTCTAAGTCAACGTTCTGCTGAAGCTCAGGTTGAAACGTCATATGAAAGGACACGATGAATAGACAGGTGTTGGTAGTCCTTGATGCCTATCAGGTACTTGTTCTGTGGCCAGTGAACAGGAAAGTTCTTCACAATTCTGTAGAAATGAAGTCACATCTGGTAATCTTACCTATTTTTTTTGTATGCACTGTAGTTGCATCAAGATGTCTGTGAGTATGTGGTGCACATGAGGAAATATACAGGCAGAAACTCTAGTGTAGTTTCACACATCTATATTAATTTGGATGATTAGAGGTGAAGTTAGCTCTGCCCAACACAGACTAGTCTTGTGTGCTTGAAGTCCTATAGTGCTTTTTACTGGTTAATTTCAAACTCCTTTTAAGCATATGGGAATACTCCCAAATCAATATTAAGATCTGATAAATGTTTTAGCAAGTCCTTGCCGTTTCCCTGGTTTTAAAATTACTTGCTGGTACTCAGTTTTTGTTTTCCTATTTCCTTGTGCTAGTTTAATACTGTGGGATAAGAAAGCTTAATAACATGTTATTGTTGCTGCGACCTTTACATTTTATTTTTCTGTTTTTCTCTCTTCTATTTATCAATTATCTGTTAGTCTGCAGTAGTGATCCTGCATTATCCTTTGTACATGGTATCATTAGGGCACCCCTAAATCAGTTCTGGTGGACATTATTATTTGTTCTTTTTTCTTTCTTGTAATTTCCTCTCTTTCTCTCCCCATTCCTTCTTCTTGCAGGTTTGTTTTACAGTCTTACATTTATTAGTAATGTCCTTAAATATTGGCCAAGATTTTTACTCTTGCCAGATGTTACTTTTAGTTGATATGCAGTTGGGTTGTATTAGTCTGCTCTTGTCCAAATCAAGCCAATTTATTGTGAGAAGCAGGGTTTATGAAGTAGCTCTTGCTTTGCTGGTCCTGCTCATAAGCCTAATGGGAATTCATTCCCAGACTCCCAGCTTTGTTGAGAGGTAGTTGACAAGATAAAGAGTCTATGTATTTTGTCTGAATATTGAGTATTGTGTGACCCACATCTGTTGACAGGTTGGTATTACTTAATGAAGACCTTAGATGATAACTAGCTGATCTCTTCATAAAGAAAAAGAATTGGGAATGGTTGGGTTTTACATCCAACTCCAGAGCAACTAGCGTTATCTACTAGACTTCTTTTTTTTTCCTTATCTCACTCTCTTTGGTTTTGAACTTACTGCTTAATTCCTGTGTTGGAGAACATCAAACCACTTAAAATTTCCCATCAACTGTGAATCTAACTGACATGACTTTTGCTTACTTGTCTAAGTAAATTGGAATGTGGGTTTTTTTGTTGTTTTTTCGTTTGTTTTTTTCCTTTCCTCTTTCCACCATTCTCTCATGCAGCTGATTTACATGTTTCTCATCATGTTGGCAAGTTGTTTGACCAACATGACTTATTCTAGTGTCAGTTTCCCCATGCTACCTTAGAGTTACTTTGTTTTGGTTCCCTCTGGCTCTATGTGCACTTGAACCTATGTTTAGCACTAAATAAGTGTGTATGAAATATTTTACTGCTGTATGGAAAGCTAACTTAATTACCATCCTTATGGCTTAGTATTTTGCATCTATTTTAGATTTGGTAATCCACATTATTATTATTATCTTCTTTGAACAAGCCTTGTCCTGCATGGAAGTATTTGATTCCCTTCCCCTCCTCCAAGGTTATGTAGGATTTACACATTTTTGGTGGCTTTTTGTCACTGGGACTTGTCTGGCTGGTATTTACTTGTGTCTCAAGGTTTCTCCATGCTGAATTTTCTTCTGTTTCTCTTCATTTGTAGTTAGTCCTGAATTCCACAGTCCCCCTGACATTTACTTATGTCACTTTGCTACTCTGAGAAATGCTATTGTTTTATAATGGTCTGATTTACCCAACATTGAATGTAAAGTAACATTTGTGTACAAGAACACTATTACAATTAAAATCTCTTCAGAAGATTGTCATGGGGTGCTGTTAATTTCTGGTAAACAGCTTAAACTCTGGTCATATTCTGTAGCAGGTGCCCTGCTTTATTTGGCAAGCGACATTAGTGTTATAGCACCATGCCTGAAGTAAGCCTTTGATGATAGAAAAAGGAAGTTTGGGAGCAGCCTTGTTGCTTCCGAGTTTTCCTCTTGGCAGATGCAAGTGTTGTCCCGAAAAGTGGGATCTTCACCTGGTACGCAAGCCAATTCACACAGGGTCGAGGTATTTCTTTTAGAAGGGGTTTGTGCAAAGCTGGGAGCCAGGTGATGTCCCACAAAGCTGGCTCAGTTCCACACAAAAACTACAGCCTATTTATCCTATGACATGATTAGCAAAAACCCACCCAAATTTACACTTATTGGTTAGTAATTACACCATTTTTAATTGGTTAATTATATTTAAATTAGTCTTGCTTGCTATGTAAATTAGCATGCATGCTCCTTACGGGGGGGCGGGGCAGGTTTTGTCAGTCTTGAATTAAGTCAGTGGTCGCAATCTCCCCCTGCTGCATTTACCTTTCCACCAGTTACCTCTGATTTCTGCTGACTTTGCACTTTATGTGGCATCTTTTCAGCCCAGTGATTGTCTAGGGCAGGATGTTCGTCTTTATCAGTATTCAGTTGCTTCTTCAAGGATTTTAGTGATTAGTAAGCATGCAGATTTACGAGCTCACACAATAGTACTGTTGACTAATAGGTGGAGTCTAACTGTTGGCTTATCCAGTCCCCCCTCATCGCATTCTGCGTTCCTTAGATCAAACTACTCTTTTGTCTGAGAAATTGGTCTCTGTCCCCGACATGGCCATCCATTTCTTGTCTACGTCACAAGGAAACCCAGCAGTGATGTGTTTCTCTGTATCTCCCCCTTCAGAGCAAGGAAACTTCACCATGTCCTGCTTGTTTCTCTTTCAGAGTTGACAGTTGCAGATGGCTGGTTGAGGTGTAGTCTACAGGAGTCTGTTTATAAATAGCTTCATTTCTTATTTACTGGTACGATTTTGTTGGTGTTAGCAAAAGCAGAAAGAGGAGCAATTTTGCTTTGTTTTGTGGTTTTAAAATGTTGTCAATTAAGTGTGTTCTAGGGCAGAGAATGATCAGTCTACCCTCTCCTCCCTCACCTCACCTCCAGCTGACTGTCAGCCAGATGAATTATCCTGGCAGAGATGGGCTAGGTTTTGATACCAACCTTTTGATTTTTATCGTTTTTGATTCTGGCTTCGTGTTTACTCTGTTTTTTTAAGTGTTTCCAGTCAAAGAGCAAAATAATTTCGAATTACGTGCACAGTGGTGTTGTGATTCCAGTGTTTTCTTTCTCATATTGTCTTTGAAATACAGTAATGTTAACCTAATGAGGAATCTTATTAAAGTTTTAACTTGGCTACTTCATGAAGTTGTTGTAGAAAACCAAATGTTTCTAAATTTTTGAATGGTCATAAAATTAATATTTATCTTTAATTATTGGGCTTTCGAAGTATGTATGGACTAATCTGGCAGCTCAAGTATAGGCCAAGGAAAGTGCCTTGGCACAAGTCATACCATCAGTGACAAATTCAGAGTTCTCTGCATGGGGAATGTTGCTGCTATTATTTTGACAGAAAAACACAGTCTGCATAGATGGGGTTTTTGTTTTTTTTTCCTTTTGGAGAGATATGTGCTTCTAAATTTTTTTTTTTTTAAAGGAGTAATGCAGATTTATAAAGATTAGAAACAATCTTTTGTATTTTAGTTGGACAGGTCTTTGTAGAGTAGACTTAACTGTTAATAGGTGTGTGTATATATGTATGATGGAGCTAAAGAAGGATTTTGGAGGAGTTGGGTTGGAACGTTTGCATGGGTAAGAAACATTTCTACCACTTATTTCCCTTGCTTGACTCCTCCATATTAATTTGAATATTCTTGCTTTCTCTTTTTTTTTTTTAGACTTCACAAAGAATATCTGATTACGCTCTGAATTCTTATTTCTTGTTTATTTTTAACTTGATTAATCAAGTTGAGATGAATAAACTGCATCCGTTTGTGTGCAGCCCATTTGTCTGCTCTAACTTAACAATTGATTTATAGGTGAAGCTAAGGTGACTTTTTTTCTTTTAAGCCTATTACCTTGGCTAGTTGTGTAATATCCTACTGACTTCTCATTGCAGCCAATCAGATGACGATTCTGGGTCAGCATCAGGTTCTGGATCTGGTTCAAGCTCTGGAAGCAGTAGTGACGGAAGCAGCAGCCAGTCAGGCAGCAGTGACTCTGACTCTGGTTCCGAGTCAGGCACTCAGTCAGAATCAGAGTCTGACACATCTAGAGAGAAGAAACAAATTCAAGCTAAACTGCCAAAAGTTGATGGATCAGAGGTAAACAAAACATATAAATGAACCCTTTGTAGGGGAAAAATTATTAAGAAAAATCTTTCTGTGCAGTTAGTTTCAAGAGCAAAAAAATTTTAAAAAAATAAAAAGTGATAATTAAGTGTTTTTAATTAGTTTTTAACTTGGTTGAGTTAGTGAATGCATGTGCTTAGCTGTCTTAAAGATTGGTCGGAGTTTCTCATGGATAAGTACTTGAATTGACAGTTTTTAAATTCTCACACTTGTAATGAGTTAAATGCTTACCTTCAGGCAGAAGCACACACTAGGGAAACTTAAGGGAGACAAAGGCACATGTAATGTTGTTATTTCTGAAATTCTAGTTTTTACATTGTTTCTCTAATGCTTAGTTTCCTTGTATCAATAAATGAGTGTCTAAAACTTTCAAGCTTAGATACAGTGGGCTTTCTTTATCAACAAGTCAGCTAAATTCAGGAAAAAGTAGTGTTTGGAAATCTCTTAAATTCAGTGGGCCAAAATTACCTGCACTCTGCTGTGTTACATGGACTTATTTGGGGTAGTAGACAAGATTTATGAAAGGTAGTCATGTATTAGTTACCACAAGAATTGAATTGTATTGAGGATTCTCTGTTAGATCTTTGTTCATGTACTTCAGTATTACTGTATGAAACAGAAACATATCAGCTAAGTGGTCTGAAAGGATTTATCTGGGTCACTTTGAAAATTTACTTTCTAAATGTTTTACCTTAACAATACCTACACAACTATTGTTAAATATGCTGTAGAAATTGCCCTGGCAATTATTATGTAAGAGTCTGTTCTGCAGAAATCTTACTACTTTGAAAAGCTATTTGATATTATTAGTGCATGCAGTGTTTTGTGAATTTTTTTAACTGATAAGATTAGTCTTAATAGCGATACTACTCAGGAAAAGTAAATATGTGGTAAACTGTAGGCTTTCAGTATGTTTAACCAACTCTTGCATCTCCATTCTTGTACAGTTTTGGAAGTCTAGTCCAAGTATACTTGCTGTGCAAAGATCAGCAGTGCTCAAGAAGCAGCAACAACAGCAAAAGGCAGCCTCATCAGACAGTGGTTCAGAAGAGGTGAATAATGTAATTTAGATTTTTAAATGTAAACATGCCCATTTCATTGTCTTATATGTTAGAATAAAATTACATAGAGCAATGTTCTCTAAGTGTGCTTAAAAGTCTTGGTTTAGTCTTTAAAAGTAACATTCAAAAAACTGACATTTTTATAAGGAAAAGTAAAAATATCTCTAGTTACTTGTTTTCAAGTGAATTGTGCCAAAATTATAGCAGCCTCGATTATGTGATATTTTTAGGTAGATATTCTGTGATGTATGGACAAAATTTTCAAGCCACGCAGTACTGACTTGCATTGTATTTTTGGCTTCTTGAGTTTTGTAAAAACCGTTAAAAATGCTAAAAGATTTTTTCAGCTGGTTTCTGTATAAAGGTAGCTGCTTTGGTTTTCAGAAATTCTGTATGGAGCAGAAAACTACATTTTTGCAAATCTTCTAACAGTCACTACAAAAGAATTCTTGTATTTTATGAACGACACCTGTATTCTAGGTATTTTGAAACCTAAATCATAGGTTGGAGAAATGTTGACTGTGCAATAGGAATATCTTTTAAGGACACTAATGACTATGAAATGGAATTTATTTATAAAGCAGTCTTTTTTGCCTTCATTACAAAAACTGTGCAGTGGAGTCATACTCATTTGGTTAGATTTCTGGTTTTGTCTGGTTTAGCAGCTTATCATTGAAACTTAAACACAGAATTTAATCACCTGTCTTTGAAACATTAATTTACAGCTGTTGTTAAGTACTATGTTTCTGAAAAATGTTTTTCAGGATAAAACTTAATCTAAACTTAATTTCAATGAGATTGACTTTAGGAAAATCTAATTTTAAGAGAGTTCTTTTTATTTCTTTGATCATAGAGAAAGAAAAAAAACCCATGCTATTCTCAAATTTTCTTAAACTAGTGTTTAAATGTGAAAGAATATGGAAGGTGAGAAAGCCCCCGAGCTTAGGATATTTTGCTAGAATTTTGATAGAACCATCTTCTTGATTAAGTTAGGGTAGCTTAAACCATGACTGTTTTTATGTAGGCACAATGGTTATTTTTTAAGAGAAGGGTTTTTGTGATGTTCTCTAGAGCTGTGCTGGCACAATGTATTCATAGATGGATATATACAAAAGCAAAAGCAGTCTTTATCTCATTCTGCATTAACAGCTACGCTGCAGGGGATGAAGACGGTAAAATGTGAATAATATGCCCCCAATTTGAAAGTGGGAGCTGATTTATCTTTTTAATGTAAGAAATACTTCATTCTTTTTGTGGTAATGAATTGTTGTGCTGGTTTTTTTTTCTTCACCTGCAGGACTCATCAAGTAGTGAAGATTCTGCAGATGACTCTTCCAGTGAAACCAAGAAGAAAAAACATAGAGAGTAAGATATTTTCATAAGTAATACACATAATTTTTTTGTCATAGTGACATGTGCTCGTAACTCATGCTTTGTTTCTCCACACTTGAAATCCTTGAGTTCCCTTTTTAATTCATCTTGATCTTGCATTTCCAATTTTGATAAATGTTTTGGAATATTTAAAATAAACTCTCAAAGGAACATCTAAATAATATCAATTTCTGAGCAAGACAGCAGTATTCTTCAACAACATTCACCAGTGCTTTTGTTTTTAAAATACTTTACCATTTATTTTTGAGCTGAAGGCCCTCCCTAAAAATTCTTACAGAAATGGGAAACTACTTTAAGTTGGTTGTCTCACAACTAATTTAAGTTAGAACCCCTTAGTTAATGCCAAATTATTTTTGTTTCTTTTTTGGTTTGGGGGTTTGGTGGTGGTGGTTTTTTTTTTCTTCCCTTGCACGTGGTTAAAAGTTACTATAGTTCTGGTAGTAATTCTTTATTGACTAGCAAAGAATTCTAACTGAAATTAAACTGGTTCTAAAAGATAGATCAGAAGTTTGTGAAGAGGATTATAAGTTGTTATTGTGGCAGTGAGAGGCAGTCACCTCAGTTTTTTATGAATGTAGAAATTGTTCTATCCTTCCTCTTCTCCCAGTTCATGAATCACCTCAGTGTTCAGGATTGCCAGTATAATATCTTAAAGAAATAGTAGTTGGGAAAAAAAAAGGGGGTGGTGCAAAAAAAAAGTGCTAACTATGCAAAATGGTACTTTCTTAGCAATGAGCTGTTACTCATGGTCTTTTGTTAGTTAAGAATTTGATTGCACTTAATAGAATACTCCATTACAGGAAAGATATTTAAGTTCAGGAGCTTGTAACCAAATCACTTCATATATCCGGTGCTTGAATTTCTGTCCTATGGCTCTTCTGAATGAATATATCTGCAGTTGTTATCTGACATGCAGATCGGATATTTCTCAATACATAACTTGATACATGAACAAGCTTTAGAGGATGGTGTTTTACATCTGGTTTTCATATTTCCAAATAAATACAGGTCATGGATTTATGATGTTTTTTTAATTGACTGGTTACAGAAAAAGTATTTTAATAAGGCATTCTGTACAATTGGCCATGTGCTGGCTGTGCAGTAGACACATATGTATTTGTCTTGGATGACTGGAACAATGGGAATGTAATTTCCTCCAGGACCCAATGTCCTGGAAGACAGGAGAGAGAGAAGAGAGGGATCAAAGCACTGATTCGTAGACTTCCAGATTGGAAATTTAAGGAAGAGATTTCTTGGTAATATTCTACCTTTGAACGTTACTACTACTCTGCCACCTCGGTCAAGTAGACCTAAACCTGATGTTAGTGTAAAGATTTAGCAACGTTTCAATAATGTGTTCCAGACTTTCTTTTTTTCTTTTTCATGAAGCTGTTAAGATTAAATTTGCCTGTATAAAATCAGAGTTTAAAGCAGTATCATCAGTCTGCCCACTGTTCATCAGTGGATACGTCTTCCCCGTTGCAAAGTAGATCTCAGTTAAGCAGCAGCAAGGAGGTACTGGTGCTCAGTCACAAGTGTCTTGCAGTATCTTGCCTGGTTGTGAAGCAGTGGTGTGGGAGCTCAGTGGGAGCTTTTGGGAGCCAATGCCACTCACAGATTGCTGCAATTCAAATTTTTCTGCGTGTTTTTCGAATCTGCCTCTGTTTTTTGATTCCTGTGCCAAAATTGCGGATTCTTCACGTGGGCCACAGGGACTATAAGCATCAGACAATATGGGACTTTCCAGAATATAACATGACATGGTGTTGAGTATGAGTAAGTTCTGATAAATACGTATCTTTCCAGTTAGACTTGTTAAACGGTTTGGTTTCTTAATGTCATGTTAACTCATTTCTTTATGCTGAAATTTGTATAGAAATACAGATTTTTGTTTTATTTTTGGATTTTAAATCTACCACTTTGTAACAGAAAACTTAGTCCGACTCCCTTTGAAGCCATTGGGCATTTTTACTTATGTGTTACTCATTTATGACAATTTTCTGTCTCATCAGCTGAAATAAGTTACGAATTTTTATTTCTGTCAACAATGTTGAAATTACAGCAGATACCCTGTAGATGAATACCTGATTTTAAAAAAACCAACCAAACAATGTAAGTTACTCTTTTGTCTTTCAATATGTACAGTGAAGACTGGCAAATGTCAGGATCAGGGTCGATATCAGGAACTGGTTCCGATTCTGAATCGGAGGAAGACAGGGAGAAAAGCAGTTGTGAAGAGAGTGAATCTGACTATGAGCCGAAAAACAAGGTCAAAAGCCGGAAACCTCCAAGGAGGTAAGAAGTCATGCATTTGGATACTCTCGTTCTATACTAATAAGCAATTGAGTATTTACTACTACTACACATGTGAATGACAGTATGAATGCTTAAAAAAAACCCAACACTCAATGACATTTTTTTTTTTTAAAGCTACCTAAGAAGTTAATATGCTAATACTTTCTAGTGAATACCTTTTCCTATCTGCTGTAACTGAAAGTGCAGCAACTGAGCATCCATGAAATACATGTATTCAGGAAGTAATACAGAAGAATTAGAGTTGTCCCTGCTGAAACTTCATTGTTGTGTCATACCTTATTGTCTTCAAGAATTAAGCCAAAAAGTGGGAAAAAGAATGCAGGACCGAAAAAGAGGCAACTTGATTCATCAGAAGATGAGGAAGAGGAGGATGATGATTATGATAAGAGAGGATCTCGTCGCCAGGCGACAGTCAACATTAGTTACAAAGAAGCTGAAGAAACCAAGACAGATTCTGATGATTTGCTGGAAGTTTGTGGAGAAGACGTCCCACAAACTGAAGAAGATGAATTTGAAACTATAGAGAAGTTCATGGATAGTAGAGTTGGCCGAAAAGGAGGTATTTTGATTTTTTTTTTTTTTTTTTTTTTTTGGTCAGTGTTCTTAAGATCCTGGAGTGCATTGTGGTGCAACTTCAGCAAATGTTCTCAGCTGTGAAGTTTATAAATGGCAATAATTTTAAAGTTAATAATTTAAAGTTATCTTGTTTTGTCTTTCATATTAATAAGGTTGTTCTTTTTTAAAGTCCTTTCTAAGTGTTGCAAATTAAAATGTAGAATAATTGTATACCTAAGTGGAAATAAAAATGAAGTGGAACATAGCTCCATAATGCATAAATGCATACCATATTGTTACTCCACTGTTTGTACAGTTTAGTGATACTTGATCAGTATAAATTATATACAGTGGAGAGGAGAAGGTGGACTAGATAGGAGAGCTGACTAGTAACCTGAACACTGAAAGATGGTGTTGGCAAGGCTGAACCACTGAGGTTATGATTTCAGTTATTACTGTGCAGGTTGTCTCAATACAGTGCAACGTGTGGAATGACTACAAAATGCATCTAAAATTTCAGTGGTACACTTGCATGTGAACTCTTAAAAGTATTTTGTGAATAGTGGTAGGCATGTTATATTTCCAGTAATAATGGAATGCAGTGTCTAGCCATTCTATTTATGTGTTTGAATCTGCAAATTAGCATTGTAATTATAAGAACAAACGCACACAAAAAAAATACCTAAACCCTGCACCCCTTGCACTTCAGAGCTACCTTTCTGCATTAGTTACACCCAATTACTAAAGTTTCTGACCCGTCTCAGAACTTGCTCTCTTCCTCCTTTCAACTTTCTTCTCCCATCCTGTCCTGAATTCTAGTGTATCCTGCTCCAAAGCATAGTGTTACTGCTGTGGTAAAAGCTTTTGGAAACAAACTTCTTACATTCTTCCTGCCCAGATGATGTTGCTGCTTGTGCTGTCTTTTGCTGTTGCCACTGTGGCTTTATCTAGCCCCTGCAGCTTGCTAGGCTCATTTCATTACCTGGCTGTCCTCACAGAAATGAGCCAGTTTCCTGCTGCTAGTATGCTTCAGCTGTGATACAGACTGTGCTTAATGAAATTTTTTCTCAAGTAAGATAACAAAGGCATAATAAGTAGTTAAACATCGTTAGGAAGAAAAAAAAATTATAATATCCCTAGTAGTAGGTTATTGATGTCTTCAGGCTGACCAATCATAACATCAGGTGTGTTCTGTGTGCTCAGAGATGAGAGTAATTTAACAGAACATGACAAGCGGGGTTAGTGGAGTGTTCCCTGGTGATGACTTTAAAAACTAGGAATGCAAAGAAAATTCTCACGAGGAAAGAGAAGATACTGTAGTTTAGATGCAGACGTTTTGGTTGCCTTTGTGACTCTCTTTTGACTACTTGTGCATGTGTTAACATATCTACGTTATAATTGTTCAAATGAGAGTAATGACATGAGAGCTGTAGATACTGGTCAAGTATACGCTCATCTAAAAGTATCATTATTTGCTTTCTACACTACATTTCTTACTGGTTAACTTATGACAATGCACACTTACTTAAGGCTTATGATGTGGTTTCTTTCTCAGCCACGGGTGCTGCAACTACCATATATGCAGTTGAGGCAGATGGTGACCCAAATGCTGGATTTGAAAAGTCAAAGGAACCAGGAGAAATACAGTATCTTATTAAATGGAAAGGTTGGTCACACATCCATAACACTTGGGAAACTGAGGAAACACTGAAGCAACAAAATGTTAAAGGAATGAAGAAACTGGACAACTATAAGAAAAAAGATCAGGAAACAAAACGATGGTGAATATTTTTATGTAGACTACCATGATACTTACTTTGTAACAACATACATGTTCTATTGTGTTTCTGAGACCCATTACATCCTTTTGAGGGCATAATTTCAAGTATGTATGCAACAGAAAGACAAAAACTTTAAAAGTTGAAGCCCTTTAACATGTTCCTGTAAGATAATCTTGTGAACCTGATTTTAGTGTGTGTCTGTTCTAAAATGAGATTTAACAGGATAGGTAGTGTTTAAAAATAAATAATAAATTGTACCTTTTACTAATTTTGTCGTTACAATTTGATCAGGGTTCTTCGGGAATTGGTTCAGAGATTAATGTTTTCTTGGTGCGTTGGCCGTTTCGGATTGCTTTGAAGAATTCAGTTTTCTTGGCTCAAACCTAGGTTTCAAGCCTGAGAACAAAAACCTGAAGAAATCCATACATTTTAGTCACCTTTTTGGTGTTTAGTTTTATTAGTATGTTTAATATAATCAATGGATGCTGCTGGGATTTTTAGCAACTTAATCATAAGATGGATTCTTATAGTGAGCCACCCTGAATACTGTTCCTTGAAAGTACCCTGTAAAGTACACTACTTATTTTTGAGAATAGGTCTTCTGAAGTAGCTGCATGACTAGTACCACCTGTAGCTGTAGTAGTTGTCTCTTGTTGTGCATTGCCAATCATTAATCATGAGGCACCTAGGCTAGATGCAGCAATTCTGTAGTAGGAATTTCTAAGTTGTCCCTTCAAAGAAGCTCTATAAACAACATTCATGTAATGCTTACAGTCAGAGCTTGAGAGTTGCCAAATTTTCTTAGTTTTAGAACTATACAGTGCAATAAGTTTGTAAATTAATTCCCATTACAGGCTGAAAAATGCTTCTCCAGAAGATGTGGAATATTACAACTGCCAGCAGGAGCTTACAGATGATCTACATAAACAATATCAGATCGTGGAAAGAATAATTGGTATGTTACAAACTTGTGGACAGAAGACACTGTTGAGAATTCTGTATGTTCACTGCTTATATGTTACGTTTGTAGTTAGAAATTTAGAAGATGAATATCACTAACTTTTTAATCCGAAACAAAACCTGAGGTAAAGAGAAAAATTGTCATACTGTCTGGGCTATGAAGCTAGCTTATGTTGTCTTATTACCCAAAATGAGTGTTTTCGTAAGATATGGAAGGAAAATGCTGATCAGATATCTCTGGTGCATTTCTGCAGCTCATTCAAATCAGAAATCAGCGGCCGGTTATCCAGACTACTATTGTAAATGGCAGGGTCTGCCTTATTCAGAATGTAGTTGGGAAGATGGTGCTCTCATTGCCAAAAAGTTTCAGGCACGCATTGATGAGTACTTCAGCAGAAATCAGTCTAAGACCACTCCCTTTAAGGATTGCAAGGTGAGTATGGAATTTGCAATGGATTTATAATCAGTTGTACTGGGTCTGGCTGGAATGAGTTAATTTTCTTGGTAGCAGCCTGTATGGCCCATGTTTTTAGATTTGTGACCTAAACAGTGTTGATAACACAGTAGTGTTTTAGCTGTTGCTGAACAGTCCTTGCACAGTGTCCAGACCCTCTCTGTTTGTTGCTATGCCCTCCCTGCCATGAGTAGGCCTGGGGTGGGCAAGGGGCTGGGAGGGAACACAGCCAGTACAGCTGACCCCAGCTGACCAAAGAGACATTCCATACCATTTAATGTCTTGCCCAGCAATAAAACTGGGTAGACTGAGCAGAGGGTTTGAAGATGGCTATTGCTGGGAGACTTGCTGGTCATGTCTGCTGGTAAGTTAATGTGTGACTACCTTTCTATCACTTGTGGGGTTTTTTGGTTGTGGGTTTTTGTTTTGGTTGGTTGGGGGTTTTTTCCTTCACCTGGTAAACTCTTTGTTTTGACCCACAGATTTTTCTCACTTTTGCCCTTTCAGTTGTCTTTTCTGTCCCACTGGGGAGGGGAGTGAGTAAGCAACTGGGTGACAGCTTAGCTGCCAGCCAGGTTCAAGACATCACATCAATTGTGATAGTAAAAATCTGAAAATATTCTATGAATCCAGAGATAAGAAACATATTATGAAGTACTTTTTGAAGGTTGTTCAGAATAGTAATAATGTAATACAGTAATGTATATGGAAAATACCACTACTAAGAGTAGTTTTTTGTAGATACCAGTCCCCTGTGTTTTTACTGGCATTCAAAGATGGGCTTGTTTAGTATTGTAGTTTATTTTAAAAGTAAAATTGGAGTGAGTTAATGTCACTCCCATTGTAGAATTTAGATTAGCAATCAAACTAATTTCACTTGCAAATTGCGTAGTGTGTTTATATGGCCTAGTTTTCATCAAGGAATAAAGTCTAGACTTGGTGACCCAGTAGATTCCTACTGCTATTTTTTCTATAGGGAGGCATCTTGCTAACTGTACTCAGTAGTAGCACTGATGATCAGTTTACTTTTGACAGGTTCTAAAACAGAGGCCAAGGTTTGTTGCACTAAAGAAGCAACCGTCTTACATTGGAGGACATGAAAGTTTGGAGTTAAGAGATTATCAGTTAAATGGATTGAATTGGCTTGCTCACTCATGGTGCAAGTAAGTATAGTCTGAAATGAGTTTTTCTGTTTGTAAATTTTAAGCATTTATAAAACTTTGAAATTGATTTTTTCATATTTTTTTTGGAAGGTGGAGGGTTTCATACAGTAAACTCAAAGTAGAGGTCTGAGGGGAGTGGTTTTGCTCGAAGTAGTAGCAAAGCTTATCATTCCATGGCTGTCTCAAAAAACAGCTAAGCTCTGTTATTGCTATGGTTTTAATTTTTTATGGGGGGTAAGTCATATTTTTAAAAAACAAACAGTAAAACCAGAAAACCGAAAGCAAACTCTTCTGAAGTGTCAAAATTAGTTTTACACTTTAAAAATTAGACTCGGGAAGAATACTTGCAAGCTTTTTGGTAATTTTGTTAATTTACTTCAAATATTAAGTGTGGTGGGGATGGAAATTGGTTTTATGGGAAAACAATGGAAATAAACTTCTTTAAGATGTGTAGTTGCAAAATCTTGAAAACTTTTATAAGTGCTTTTTATGCTCAGAAGATAGTAATTTCTTCTTGTCCAATCCCTCCCCGTCTCTGCATCCCCTCCCAAAAACCCAATATTTTCTTTTAGAGGGAATAGCTGTATTCTTGCAGATGAAATGGGTCTGGGTAAAACAATACAAACAATTTCTTTTCTGAACTACCTGTTTCACGAACATCAATTGTATGGACCTTTCTTGCTGGTCGTACCACTTTCTACCTTGACGTCTTGGCAAAGAGAGATTCAAACGTGGGCTCCTCAGATGAATGCTGTAGTTTACTTAGGAGATATAACTAGCAGAAATATGGTGAGTATTTCTCTCTGTCATTGGAAAGACTTGTAGGTAAACGAGTTGCTTCATATCCTGTCCTCTGCTAATCTGCAATAATGTGGTTAGACCTGAACAAATACGTACTGAAACACTATGTGTTTAAGATGCAAATTAAAAGCTTAGATTTTGATCTGATATAAAAATGTGTGAAAGATTTCCTTCCTGCTTAATAGTGAACAGAATTAAAAATTTAGCCTTGCTTTTGAAAACAAATGATCTTCTGCCATATGATTAATTAGGTGGATATAGTAAAAATAAATATGTAAGCAAGCCAGTCATGATCTTAATTTATTTCCTGAAATGTTGTTAACTTGTTTTCTGAATGTTAGTAACCTTATCAATTAAAGTAAAAATGTTTTGAGGAAAACCTTTGCTGTTTATTCAGTAGTTTAAACAAAGTATTTTTGGAGTGCTTAGATAGGATGGAAATTCAATCTTATATATGTTAAAATGTTGTGTTTCTGTTTCATGATCATATTATTGTATGTCATTGAACATTTACATTGCTACTGTACTTAAATTCATCCCAGTCAACAAGACCTTTTTTCTCTAGTTTATAGTTCACTTGATTCTTTTTGTAGATAAGAACTCATGAATGGATGCATCCACAGACCAAACGATTAAAATTTAACATACTTCTAACAACATATGAAATTTTGCTCAAGGATAAGGTAATTACACTTCTTCAGGAAGATAAAAATAATTTCTCCAGTGTAGAGCTCTTTTCAGGCTTGCATGTTTTTGATTTGTTGGCCGTTAAATGTATGGAGAGTGTGATAGCTTTTGCTTTTGGAAGTATAACAGTGTATGGTTTCGGGTTTTGGATTTTTTTGTGGGGGGGGGTTTTAGGCACTTCTGGATTTTCTGTATGTGTGGTGAGGCTTTCAGCTTTTTCCATTTCATTAAGTGGGTAGCACTTCTTTTTCTCCAGTTTGCTTGGGATTCTCTTTACTGTAATCGCTCATCTTAAAGAACTCTGCTTGCAGACCACCATCCACGGAATGGAAAAAGAACTCTACCCCTAGCCCCAAACATGATACAGAGCTCTGAAATCCCATATAGTTTTCCTTTGTTATTGTGCGTACAGTAGTATGTGTACATATGTTAATACTGTCTCCATAGTGGTAGCACACAGTTATTGTTAATCCTTCTAACAGTATATGGAAATTTTTGTAGATTGTCAAGAAACAGAACATTTTTACTTTTTGTTTGTACATGCTGGGAAGAAGAGGTCGATGGTGGGGTTTTTTTCTGTCATAAAAATTAGTGTGAGTCAGACTTTTGGCCATTTTTTTTCCTTTTAAACTTAATTTAGACTTCTTGAGATACTCGCACAGCCTTTCATTGAGTCTGGCACATACAAAATCTATAATTAGTACTAAAAATGTATAGCTGTCCGTATGTTATTAAAATAAACCAAGAAGTGGTAGTGTTTAGAGCTTTATTTTTAATCTGGGAAATTATGCAATGTGTTTATTTGTATAATGTTCTCCCCATCCTCCATTTCTTTAAGTCGTTCCTTGGTGGTCTGAATTGGGCATTCATAGGAGTTGATGAAGCTCATCGTTTAAAAAATGACGACTCTCTTCTGTACAAGACTTTAATAGACTTTAAGTCTAACCATCGTCTTCTTATTACTGGAACCCCTCTACAAAACTCTCTCAAAGAGCTGTGGTCTTTGTTACACTTCATCATGCCAGAAAAGTAAGGAGGAATTTTACGTGATTCTTTTTAACACTTTTTTTGGTCAATTTTGTTTTTGTGAAGTAGTGTAGTGATTTGAGAATCAATAGAGGTAGAGAATCATACTGAAAGGTAATTTAAATATTCTATGTAAGGTAGATGCATATATTTTTTTTCATGGTGCTTCTGATAAGTAGCACTGGTAGCAGTTGCCACCTTTTTTCATTTTAGCAGTTCATAAAAATGATGGATTAAAGTATGGGTCAGAACCTGGAAAAAAGGCTTCATCTTAGCCTAAGAGGAAAACTGAATGAATTTACTCTGGGGAAATAGAATGGAATCTTTTCTGTGTTAGTACTGTTAGTGAAAACAAACTTGTACTAAGATACCCAATATTCTGTAGTTCAGTCAGATAGCTGGTTTTCCCATACGGTTTGCATACAGAAAGCTTACTGTTTTGACCTTATTTTATCCCAACCTGTGTTTGTACCTGAGATAAATTAAGAGTTCATGTGTGAGTGCACGTGTTCCAGTTGGACATCTTGTCAATGGCAAGCATCATAATTCCATTTAGTTGAGCTATGGATTGTACTGACTTCTTCAGAATCATACAAGCAAAGCCACTATGGTCTAGTGCCCATTCTTCATTTGATCATAAAGTCTGTTCTCCTAGTCTCTTAGCACGGAGGATAGTTATGTTTCTGCTAGACCATAGAAGCTGCAAAACGTACATTAAGTAGTCTATTCTCTTGCACACCATCCAGTCATGCAGCTGGTAATTTATGCTGCTCTTGATAAATATAATAGTGGAATTTCTGCAACCACCTAGGTGAGTATTCTAGCAGAAGAAGAAAAATGTTGGGTTTCCACTGAGGAAGTTAAAATTCAGTAGTTTTCATTCTGTAAGTGTTTTTGGAAAATTCCGTTCTTCTATTTAAAGGCAAAGTATTTGGAATTTCTTGTGAAATGAAAATTCAGAAATTAGATAAATTAAACAGAAAAAGGGAAAGAAATCCAAATGTGTGTGTGCTCTTGTATATGTATACACATTCTGTACTTGTGTTATTTTTCTTCTTGAATTTTGCTTCTTCAGGTCATTCATAGTATGTCAATATTTTGCCCTCATTCTTTATTGTGTTGAAGGTTTTCCTCCTGGGAAGATTTTGAAGAGGAGCATGGTAAAGGGAGAGAGTATGGTTATGCAAGTCTTCACAAAGAACTTGAACCATTTCTACTCAGAAGAGTTAAAAAAGATGTAGAAAAGTCTTTACCTGCTAAAGTTGAGCAAATTCTGAGGATGGAAATGAGTGCGTTGCAGAAACAATATTACAAGTAAGTAACAACACTTTAAAAATTGTGCTGTTTTACTGATACATCTACATGTAATTTACTGAAATGTAATGGTTTTTATAATGCAATTTGAACTTGAGGCTTCTAGAGTTTCACAGCAGTAAAATTCTATGAAGCAAGGACTCAAGAATTACACTGGTCTAATATCTATTCGTATAGCCTGTTTTATTTGGCATGTTTGTACCTTCTTTTGGGAGCTGCTTTTTTCTTTAGCTGGTTCATATTTTAAGAGCTTACATCTATCTTACTTCCATGTATGGTTAGAAATTACTTATATAGTACATTTTATATCGTAGGTGGATTTTAACCAGGAATTATAAAGCCCTCAGTAAAGGTTCGAAAGGCAGTACCTCCGGATTTTTGAACATCATGATGGAACTCAAGAAGTGTTGTAACCATTGCTACCTCATTAAACCACCAGATGATAATGAATTCTATAATAAACAGGAGGCCTTACAGGTAATGTCACTTTTTAATTTAAAAAAAAAAGTTCCATTTTACTTGTGTAATATTCACACAATTTTATAGTGCTCTGGCAGTGTATTAATTCTTATTGAAGTATATTAAGAAAAAACAGATTCTCTGGAAAATGTGCATCCCGGGTTTTACAGGTAAGTGAATCAATTTTTGTTTCTTAATTGGAACTGAATAATTGACAGAGAATTGACTGAATAGAATATCCCTGATTTTCATTAGAATCAAAGTAAGAAGGAAATAGTTTGAAACAGGCTGTGTATTTTCATGCAAAATAGGTTTAAAATAGGTCTCAAGTTTAAGTAAAATAAAGCAGCTAAGCAGGTAAATGTAGTTTGAGGGGAAATGCATGTGACTGCTAGCAATGATACACCAGCAATCTATGTGATAGCAGAAAGTGATCTGCAGAATGCTTTTAAGCTTTTTTATAATCAAATACTGTTCTCTGTATGCCTGCGAACAACCGAAGTGAAAGGAGATGAAAGTAACAAGCATCCAAAGCTCAGTCTGATTTTTTTATTGTTGTTTTAAAAGGTGAAAACAATTATCATCCCTATCAAAGATAGTCTGTTGTTTGGGGGTTTTTTGGATGTTAACTAAATTTGTACCAAAACTGTTGAGAAGTGTAGCAACAGACAAGAAGGCTGTTGTTGTTGATGCAGTTTATGCCAACATAAATGTTTGTGAAGATGATTTTTTTTCTGCAAGCTTTCAAGATGGTAATTTAAATACCTTCCCAAAGCCACTAGTTTGTGCAGTGATTAATATCCTTCTCCTTTGTGGCATAAAGAATAAAAGCACCTAACTAAAAATTTAGCATTCCCCAAAATTCTGTCCCAAGCATCTTCACCTAAAGAGACCTGACATTTTCAACATTAAATTTCATATTTGCTTGAGTTTATGTTCTAGTTATTCCCAGTGGAGCTGAAAAGGCTTACCAGGCTTTAGGTGTGTTACAGTGTTAGGCACCACAAACAAGATTCCTCTGATTTTATCTTGCCTGAGAAACTTGATTTTTAGGCTTTGTTTAAAAGTACTTCGAGGGTTAAGTAACAGTACATATATTTTTTTTCATAAGATGGGAAGTGAAGAGGAGGTAGTACTAAGATTTTTTTTTTCCCTCTATCTTCTATTTTATTGGTTACTAAACTTTATTTTTCACTTCGGAGAAAAGAACTTGGGCCTACGTCACAACTCTTTAAACTTTTAAGCCCATATATTCACTTCATGTTTTGATGAGATGTTAACATGTGACTTTAGAAGAGGGAACTGAACAATGCATTTCCTTTTAAAATGTGTGAGTTAGTAATCCTATTGATTTCAGTTAGAATCAACTAAACTAAAATTAAAGTAAACTTTTGTGTTCAGTTAATGCTGCATACTGGTAAATTTATATAACAGTGATGTCTTATGTTCACATGAAATTGGTGTGGGGGGTTGTTTTTTTTGTAGTTCTAGGGGTCTATATATAGTATGTATGCTTTAAACTACAAAATTCTTATGGAATGTCAAAATTTACCTTTTTTTTCTTCCCACAGCAATAGAAAGAAGAGCAAACCTCAAATGCCTTAGCCAATTGCAGTGTGTATTAGTTTGAGATGAACTTACTTAGTAATATGTATTTCTTGGGTTTTGTAGCATTTAATACGGAGCAGCGGGAAACTAATCCTTCTTGACAAGCTACTGATTCGTCTGCGAGAACGTGGCAACAGAGTTCTGATTTTCTCACAGATGGTGAGGATGCTGGACATCCTAGCAGAATATCTGAAGTATCGTCAGTTTCCCTTTCAGGTAAGAATCTTGACGGTAGTAGCCAAGAAGCTTTGATCTTGAGTATAAGAAAAATCTTTTCTTCACCCTGAGGGTGACAGAGCGCTGGAACAAGTTGTCCAGAGGTTATGGAATCTCTATCCTCTGTGACATTCAAAGGTCGCCTGGACATGACCTTGGGCAACCTGCATTAGCTGTCCTTGCCTGAGTAGGGGAGTAGACAGGATAATCTCCAGAGGTCCCTTCCAACCTCAACTGTTTTGTGATAATGTGATCTTTACCACTTCACTTAAGAGAAGACGTAAGCAAACATGTTCTTTTTCTAGAAATACTGGCAATTGCTATATGCTAAATAGTATTTTGAAGTGAAACTGCTGAATTAGAAAGTTGTGAAGTGCTGCCTATTTTTTTTTGTTTTTCCTTCACATGGCAGTTTTGGCAGTTGAGAATTCAGGTTGCTCTGATTTTGAATATAATATAAAAATTACTTTTTAACTGTAGTATTCAATCTCTTTAGAGACTTGATGGATCAATAAAAGGGGAATTGAGGAAACAAGCACTGGATCATTTTAATGCAGAAGGATCAGAGGTATGCTATTTTTTTCCTAAGGAATGTTTTGTTTGTTTGGTTTTTTTCCCCCCAAGAAATATTTAAACAAAATGCATCAAAAATGAAGACTGAAAAAGTGAGGAATATAACAATGAATTTTCAACCTTATTGATATTACCTGGACTATAAGGTTTGCATCTGCTAATTCTTTTTCTCTAAGAAGAGGTTAAGTAGCAAGCACGTAACTTATGAAAATGGTATTTAATCAGTTGTGTAGCTTTACTTTTTTTTTCTAAAGCTCTTTATCGAAGTAATTTTAATTACTATATAAATGCTGCAGAAATCTAACTTCAGCTTTGTTGCTGTATAGAGCTTAACCCAACAATGTTTACAAAAGCATTGAACTTACACAAGCAGTTAGCATGAAAAACATCCTTTGGCAGTGGGCAGAACTAACTTTTGTATATGCTTGTGTGAACAACCATTTTTAATTGTTTCAAATCTGGCTTCTGTTATCTTCATTTGTTGCCACCTACTTAGTTGCCCTGGAAGAAATAGTGAAGAACTGATTTCTAGCCATTCTTTGTGAGCAAACTGTGATGAATATGTAGGTGTCTGTTACAGATTCTTTCTTTTCCAAGTTGGAAGATTTGTAGCTTATTTAGCATTCCTAATATGCAAGCCATTCCATACCTTTGATCAGCTTAAATCTTTTGATCTACACCAGCAGATTTGGGGGAGGGGAGATTATTTTGGTGGGTTTTGTGTGTGGGTTTTTTTTTAAGTCAGTAATTGAAGGATAGCATTTGGCAGTTGCTGCTGGCCTTGTTTCTGCTAAGGTGGAGGGAGAAGGGCTTAACTCCGTAAGACAAACTTCAGATATTTGTTAAATACAGAATTTAATTCTGTTTCAAATTTCTAGCGTAGATGTTCTTGCCTTTTTCTGAAATCTTTGCAGTCACACTATACATTTTCTGAGATGAAGAGGCATTTAAACTTTATGCATTTTAAAAATGGAGGCAAACTATGCATTTTCTGCAGCCACAAAATTATGTTCTCGGTTTTATATTTTGTTTCTTTCCTAAAAATTCAGAACATTCTGTATGGTTTTTTGCCATTACTGAGCTAAGGGCGACATGGAAATTTCTAGCACAATTCTCAGGACTCATTCCTAAGTGTAATGGTTTGCTATTTCCTATAATTGTACTGAAAATTGGGATATTTTTTTTTTTAACCTGTTCTGCTTTATCTTGGATTTCATATATTCTTGTATTGCATGTCTCAAGATCTTTCTGCAGTACTTCGTAGTTGTCCCTGAATGAATAGTTCTGTATCATCTGCAGGCTTTTTCACCTTGTTGCTTATCTCATTTTCATACTGTTTGTGAATATGTTGAACAGCATTGAACCTGGCAGAAGACTTTTGCTTCCTATCTTTTAACAAGTTACTTGTGGGCTCAAGCATCTTCCCTGCTCTGGCATGGCTGCTTAGTCTTCCAGGGCTTGGGGCAGGGGGTGTGGGAGAGGGACTCTGTAGCATACAAGGCTTTAACTGTAGGGTTTTTGTGGTTTTTGACTGGTCTTTTGTTTGATTGGGAATTTTTGGTTGGTGATTATCTTCTAGGATGCTACTTCCTTTAAACTGTTGAGAAGTCAGTAACTAATTATGAAGGAAATCGATATCAATGTTTGTTTTATACTTAAAGAAACTTTAACTGTAGAACCGTTACAGAACAGGTAATATATGATTTTGAAGCCTGCGCCACAGACTGCATAAACAAGTGTCATATTGGTTCCTAAGAGTATTACAACTATTGCATATAAAACAATTTCTTATTTTATGATTTCAGGACTTCTGCTTTTTGTTGTCTACTAGAGCTGGAGGATTAGGTATCAACTTGGCATCTGCTGACACTGTAGTTATATTTGATTCTGACTGGAATCCACAAAACGATCTGCAAGCACAGGCTAGAGCACATAGGATTGGACAGAAGAAACAGGTACACACATTCAGCTGTAAACTCCAAACCTAAAGGAGGGTTCTGTACAGTAGCTGTTCAATCTCTGCACTGCTCAGTTTTCATGTATTATTGAGAATAACTAATACTTGCAGCTTATGTCCAAAAATATTAGTAATGCTCATTTAACTTCCTTTTTTTGAAATGTTCCTATACGGAGAGTTAATATGGCAGTTGTGGTATATGGATGTGAGAGCGAGAAGAGTTGCGACCTTGTCTGTCCCACATTCATTGGTATCATGTCATTCTAGAAGATAACTACTGCGTCTGGCACATCCCCCTTGCTTAAATATTTCTTAGTTCTCTTCAGATTTCTTTCTTGCAGAAGACATATGCTAATAATTGGAAATACGACATTTCTTTTTACACATCCACAAAAATCCCATGCAGCGTTACAGGCTGGGGGAAGAGTGGTTAGAGAGTGGTCAGGTGGAAAAAGACCTGGGGGTGCTGGTTGACAGCCAGCTGAAGATGAGCCAGCAGTGTGCCCAGGTACTCAAGAAAGCCAATGGCATCCTGGCCTGTATCAGGCATAGTGTGGCCAGCAAGACTAGGGAAGTGATCATCCCCCTGTACTCGGCACTGCTGAGGTTGCACCTCAAATATTGTGTCCAGTTCTGGGCCCCACGCTTCAAGAAAGACATTGAGGTGCTGGAGCGAGTCCAGAGAAGGGCAGCGAAGCTAGTGAAGGGTCTGGAGGGTAAGTCTTATGAGGAGCAGCTGAGGGAACTGGGGTTCTTTAGTCTGGAGAAGAGGAGGCTGAGGGGAGACCTGATCGATGTGTACAACTACGTGAAAGGAGGTTATAGCAAAGTTGGGATCGGCCTCTTCTCCCAGGCAACTAGTGACAGGACAAGAGGGCATAGTCTGAAACTGCACAGGGGAAGTTCAGGCTAGAAATGAGGAGGTGTTTCTTCACAGAAAGGGTCGTTAGGCATTGGAATGGGCTGTCCAGAGAGGTGGTGGAGTCACCATCCCTGGAGGTCTTTAAGAAAAGACTGGACATGGCACTTAGTGCCATGGTCTAGCTGACATGGTGGTGTTAGGGCAAAAGTTGGACTCGATGATCCCAGAGATCTCCTCCAACCAAATTGATTCTATGATTCTTCTAGCATTTACTTTTTTGCCTGTGGCAATGCTTGTGCCAAATCACTGAAGTTTAAAAAAGACAGGGCTAAGACTTTATTTCTCTGTTTTTTTTAAAACACTTATGTAAAGATTGTGGTAACACGATTGAACTACTATTTCATATTTGACACCAGTCAATAAATTCAGAAAACATATAGCGAAGACTGAGATTTCTCCTTATTGTTGCTTACTGTTTTTTAAAATATACATAGGTCAATATTTATCGACTAGTCACAAAAGGATCAGTAGAAGAAGATATTCTTGAAAGAGCCAAGAAAAAGATGGTGTTAGATCATTTAGTAATTCAGAGAATGGACACTACAGGGAAAACCGTACTACATACAGGCTCTACTCCTTCAAGGTATATTTGTATTTTTTTCCATACCAATTTGCCCTTAGGTATATTTGACAAGTAAATAAAAATGTAAATAAAAATTTCACTTGGTTAATGAAAGGCAAAATAAGGTTAAGTAAGTAAAGATGCAAAGCATCTTGTCTTTCTAGATTTTTATTTGCATATTAAATACATGTATTAAAAATATATACAGTTTTTATTTAATGGTAAAAAGTTTAATTGGCTCATGATTCTAGAGAACTTTTTCAAGTTGCTACAATAAAATGTTTTGTCTGTAAACATCCTTTATTTCAGCTCAACACCTTTTAATAAGGAGGAGTTATCAGCAATTTTGAAGTTTGGTGCCGAGGAACTTTTTAAAGAACCTGAAGGAGAAGAACAGGAACCCCAGGTAAGTAGTGTTTCTGGACTAGATAGATAAAACAACCGAAAAAAAATGAATTACTTAATTCTAAAGAGAACCTTCTTTTTTAGGAAATGGATATAGATGAAATCTTGAAGAGGGCTGAAACTCGGGAAAATGAGCCAGGCCCATTAACTGTAGGAGATGAGTTGCTTTCACAGTTCAAGGTATTACTCTTTTCCCTCTGTCCTGCCATAATTATACTTTCCTTTATAAATGGTCCTATTTTTCTTTTGTGTACCTATTTGCCTCTTCATTCTTATGAAATTGATGCATCAGTAAGTCAACTCTCTATCTCTTTCTAATAGAATGCCTTTTCACGTCTACAGGATACCTACCATCAGTATAAACATTTAAAAATACACAATGTATTTTGCTAATAAAATAAGACATTTATGAATGTGTTAATGATTAGAATTCTAGGTAGTTTTGTGTTTTATTTACTGCCTTTGTTAAGCAGCTGTGGTATCTTTGAACGCAAAATATAAAGTTCGCATTTCTTAGTCAATGACTTCTTGAAATAGATTTTAACCCTGAAGTAAACTTGAATGCCAGGTATTTTAAGTGTTATCAGTTAAACATACTATACTCTGGGTGCAAAAAAGATGCGGAGCATGATGTATTTGTTTAGATCAGCAGATTATTAAATAACTCTTCTGCTGATCGTTCATTTGCAACATGCTTTGATTTCTACAGTGTATTAATGTTTGGTTAGTTTTATATTATTACAATTTCACATTAACTCAGGCATTCGAAAGTTGTTAGCCCTATTTTGAAGAAAGTTAAACAACAATCATACAGCTGTTGGAAGTGTTTCATTATGCATCTGTATTAGTCAACTTTTAAAAGAAGAAAAAATTTCTCATCTTAGCTTATGTTGCATGGAGTCTGTATCTGTTTCATAACTGAATAAAAATACTTTCGTTAGTGACAGTACTCCATGAAGCATTTTGTATGTATTAATCTTATATATATTATAATACAATAGCATATATAAATGCATAAAATCTATAAATGCATAAAATATTCCATCTAGAACTTTCTTTTCCTAAAATATTAGTTGCTGAGTCTTTTTCAAATAAGTCATGTATTGATTTGATGAAAATACATATATTCTGATATGTAAGGTGGCCAACTTTTCCAATATGGATGAAGATGATATTGAGTTGGAACCAGAAAGAAATTCAAGAAATTGGGAAGAAATCATTCCGGAAGTCCAGCGGCGAAGAATAGAAGAGGAGGAAAGACAAAAAGAACTTGAAGAAATATACATGCTCCCAAGGATGAGAAATTGTGCAAAACAGGTGTCTCTTGGTTCTGGCTGACTTGTACTTCTATGTTGCTGTTGGTTTGGTTTAGTTTGTTTGGGATTGTTTTTGGGTCTTGTTTTTTTTTTCTTTTCTGAACACAGCTTTTTAAGAGGTTAGGTAAAACTTTTGCTTGTGTGTGTTAATCATGTAGCTTTGAACTGCTTATTCTGAAATTCCAGGTCAGCTTTAATGGAAGTGAAGGGAGACGCAGTAGGAGCAGAAGATACTCTGGATCTGATAGTGACTCCATCTCAGAAAGAAAACGGCCGAAAAAACGTGGAAGACCACGAACTATTCCTCGAGAAAATATTAAAGGATTTAGTGATGCGGAAATCAGGCGGTAAGATATGGTGGGACATGCATATTTAAAGGGACAAGACAATTTTTTAATTACTATTATTATTATAAAGCTTGAAAATACAGAAGGCAGTCTATTTTTCCTGCATTTCTTAGAATTTTTTTATTCTAGGCATTTATATGTTTTACCTTCTGTACTTTGTGGTGCTTACAGAGTGAACTGTCATGGCAAGAATCTGAACGGATTTTAATGAGGGATACAATTGGGTTTCAGAAATATTCTTGTTTGTTTTAAATTTGTTAATTCCTGCAACCCATGAAGACAGTGATATCAGTTGTTAAAATGGCTGAGCTTTTTACAAGTGAAATAATCTGCTTCCCATCATTTTATCTGAAAACTGTAGTGCTGAAAGAATACGTAAATCTTTTTTGGTGACAACTACAAAAATTTGAGTGGATTTTGTTTTCTTTTTAAACTTCTTGACGTTGTAATTGAATTAATGTTATATTGTGCTTTTTTAAACTCAAAAAAAATCTGTTTGAATCTTGTATAGCAGATCCCTTCAATATTTGGTGTTGAAGTATTTTCTTGGTAGAAGGAGGAGGAATAGTTTTGTTTTACCTCTTTGAGTTTCTGAAATGCTGCTTTGCTTCTGAAATTTAAGTATGCATGTTTCTCTAAAACGCTGTAAAGCTTACAAAATGTTTTTGGTTAGAGAAATAACTTTAAAGTCTGTCACCATTTACAGCTGGACCAGCGCTTTAAGCCGGTGGCAGATGCTCTCTGTTAACC